CGTGACACATCATTTTAAAACAAGACAGTGATTATTTAGTCTCTCAGTCAAAGTTTAGTTACAACTCTGCAAGATGGAAAGCAATGGACTGGAACTGACTACTGATTAAATACTGAATATTAAATGTTGGTTAGTTGGGCACACTGGGCAATATGCATGACCATCTCTCAGTAAATAATAACCACCAAATATTTAGCTGAGCCATAGAAAAAATAGTGTTTTATGTTTGAAAATGTACAAGCCTGATGCAGCGGATTAAACAGTATTGTTTGTAATTTACAGCTTAAGTTTGTCAGAGGAGATGCTGGACCGTCAGCCACTACAAACACAGACTGAGTTGAGTTATTAATCACTTATCCTAATCAATATATTTTGTTTGTTTATACCTCATTCTGTTCTGTAGAGGTTACTTACTAAACTGTTCTAAAGGAGGGGGGGGATTGTAGTGGGAGCAGTGTGTGGAGTAAGTCTAAGTAACGTTACATTAACCTTACCTTCCTATAATAATTGAAATGGTTGCTCCCCTGGTTACATAAATTTTGTATAGTTTAGTAAACGCCAAGTGTGTGAATCGTCTGGTAAGTGCATTCTTACAATTGAATCTAAAATAATATATACAGTCCTTATGTTTGTGGTATCCCACATTTTTTTAAATCAGTAAGGAGATATTGGATCTTAATGTTGATGTTTAGCATGTTGCACTTAAAGTGGGATTTATAGTGAAAAACGTTAAAACAAGTCAGACCTACAGTGGCTACATGGAGAACTGTGATTGGTCAGTTTTGGCTGCTGTTGTTCTCTTCAACAGGTCGCTGATGCCGGTGGAAACTGCTGAGCGTGAAGACAACGTGAAGCACGTAATAGATAGCTTGTGTGTATTGTTTTCATGTGTGTGTGTGTGTGTGTAGAAACTTGGAAAAGCTTTTACCACGTTTCCATGACATTATTGAAGAGTGCAATTTTCATTCAGCTCAGTCTCACCCTCCTACGCGTCACGTCCTGGTGCTAATGAATGTCTCAGCGTCAAGACACACACACACACACACACACACACGAGCAGAAAGCCATTTGTTTCTGTGCCAAAGCTTCCCACTCTTTTCTACACACTGACACTTGCAGTCAAACACGGACATTAACACTATTAGACCAGCGTACCTGAGAAAAGCACACACACACACACACTAAAAACTACAAACCACACAATAATATTTCACAGGCAGTCACCATCTTAAGAGAAAACACCCTTCACTGTCTGTCTTCTTGCTGCTGATTAAGCTCGAGAGCAGAGAAATCATGGCCTGATGAGCTCCACGCAGATTCAGAGCCAACAGTCTCACATACTTATGACCTCTGTTCAGACAACAGTGGAATGGACTCAATATGCGCAACTGACTGACTAACAGCCAGCATACATTTTACCACACAGACATGAAAAGAAAAGAGCTAGGGAGGGAGAGGGAACATGGGGCGAGGTGAGCAGGGACTGGAGGAGAGGACCAAGGACATGTTGGAGTGACTCCACACTCTCCACTATAAAACACAGAATGAGGGATTTATAGATACGCCTGCTGGCTCTAATTACAGTTAGGATATGTTGTAACTCACCTACGCTCTCTTCTAAAGTCATTTTCTAGATGTAATCTCTGCAGTCTTACACACCCATCCTGCTGTTATTACAGACATGTCTGAACTAACCACAGACACTCAACCCGCTGGTGGACTCACCTCTTCTGTGTCGAGCCACGACGGGTTTGCCGTGCCTGTAGAGTCTCGCTTATTTTTAAAAGGAGCCATGTTGTACTTTTTTACTTTTTACTTTTCAGATTGCAAACACTCCCTTCCCAAGCCTGTGCTCGAACTAATGATGGAGCAAAAACAGAGACTGGCGCACCGGAGACAGCTTCACACAACATGCTGGAAACTCAGGTAAACTCCCACTGCAACTTTACAGTGATATTTTTAATCAGCTTGAAGTTGAACTAATCCATGCTCGTTACATGGTGACTGCATTTACTGTATTTTTCACCAGAGAGGCTCATCAATGTGAGCACAGCTAAATGTATAGGGTGACAACTAGACTGAATACTATAAATGAGATTGTTGCCACACCGTAATGCAATTAACGCTGCGTTACTTGTTACTGAACGTGGAAGCGCGACTGTGCAGCAGGTCAGCGGCACCGGACTTTGTTGTCCATCTCCGCTGATAGCCAAAAACTATAGAATAGAGAAAAAGACTGGAGAACGAGGGAGAGAGGCGTTCTTTCCACAGCTGTAAGTAGCTGCTGCCATTATTGTGTCACAGTCTAAGATGCAAAGAACATAGTCATCTAGGCTAAACTCTTTTCTACAACCACGGCGGCTGCTGTCACTGATGCTGGACTCGTCGGGAGGGAGTGGTGTTAACGTAATGTTTTGTGACATAAATAAACAGGCTACATGTGCAGAAAAACAGCTGTTCAAAAGTTGGCATTTACTCACTTTATTCTTTCTTACTTCATTACAGTTTACCATTGTTTGTTTCAGCGTAGTTAAAATCACTTCTTGCAGGCTAGAATCAATACTGACAAAATACACAGGATAGTGATATGGATTGCGTTAGCTGGTGAAGTAATGTGGCAGGCTATATGTGTGTGTGAGAACAAATAAGCAGTGTGGCAATAACATACCAATTTATGAATATATAATTGAAGAAAATGTATATATGTAGAATTGTGTAATTAACAAAACAACAGTGACTCCACACACAAGGTAAAAAGTAACCATCTATCAGACCATCCGTGCTGCAAGTGCACCATCTGTCTTTACTGCTGATTTAATAAATGTTAATACATTCTGAAGCATATGGGAGATTCGTGTAAAGACTAAAATGTGCTAATTAAATGTATGTATGTGTACATGTAGATTGTAGCTGTAGGCAGAAGTGTGATATTTAATATATATATATAAGAGCTGAGTGGCAGCAGATTCTTTCATTGGAAAACTACCTGTTTTAAGAAATTAAACTGATTTGTGTTTGTTTGAACTGAGTTTTCTCTACTTTATTTTCCTCTTTCTTACTTCCTAATAATCGTTGGCTGACAGTTCTCATTTAAGTAGTGTGTATATATATATATCATGAACATGTGTTTCCGTGTGCACGCGTGTGACAGTAATATGTAAACATCTGTGTGTGCAGTCGGGTTAATTAAGATTTAAAAAAACTGTTCTTGGAAGTGAGATGAATAGAGAGCAAGAGAGAGAGAGAGAGAGAGAGAGAGAGCGCCACATTAATACTTACCACCGCTGCTGCCATGGCAATGCAGCTTGACTGGCAGTCTGAACAGAAATGAGAAGCCCGCTAGACAAACACACACACACACACACACACACACACACACACTGCTGGCAGGTAGAGATTTGTAATAAGGGAGCCCAGGACCTCAATATGGATGAGGCGAGCGGTGTGTGCTTGTTTGTGAGTGTGTCTGAGAGGTCAGAGGTCACCGAGCACTGCAGAAGCTGAGTCACACACACACACACAGTAACGACAGTCACAGTCCATGCATACATAAGAAATGTATAACTACAATAATCTGACTATCTACATTACAATTAATTGACTATTTTTGTAAAATCTGACGGCCAGTAAATATCTGCAGCTGTCAACATGTTTGTCTCAGTCACACACACAGAGCTGTAAATAATTAAAAGTCACACACACACACGTGCACATATCAGTGTGACATGGACAGGAGTCACGGTGAAAAATGAAACAGGTAATAAATATTGAGTAAAACTCATCCTCCCCTTGGATAAGCTTGTGTGTGTGGACCAACCAGCTCCATCTGTCACTCCAGGTGGGCACTCACACCTGCCACACACACACACACACACACACACACACACCACAGGCTTACAAATGATCACTGGTAACAGTTGGTATTGAGCAGAGAGAGGAGGATGGACAGAAAGCCTGGACAAACTCACTTGATCTCTTTACACACACGCGTTTCTTTCATACAGTACTTTTGTTTTACATGCTGTCCGTTTCCCTTTGCACACAATATATTTTACAACCTTTCTATGTTTACTCACTGGTTCCCTTAGCACATTCCCTTGTTTCCTTCACACACACTGATTCCGTCAGTGCACTGACTAATATCCTTTACCCACAGACTCTCTCGTTCCCTATGAACCAACTCAATTGTTGCCTTACGTACAAAAACACACAATCAATCAGATTTCCTCTGCACACACTCACTTATTTCATACACTGAATTCTTTATACATCCCTCGCCTTTTAACACAACCTTGTTCACTATGAACAGTAACTTTTACCTACCGCTTGGTGAAAAGAAATACACACATTGTAACAGAATCTTGGGAGAATGGCTGCAAATGCACCACCGCTGGCAGGAATATCTTCAACCGATTCAGCTACTTTTATAGGAGCTATCCACTGTTTGTATCTGGTTTCACTTGGAAATGAACTGCTACAAATACGTAAAACAACAAAAGTGGCTAACATAGTGTGTTTATCTGGTGTGAATACAAAGCTAGCACTAGGGCTAACGACCTTGAAGTAACACTTAATATGTTTTCCTGGTCTTCCCATTCTGTCGACATTATGTGAATGCAGCATATGTATAATTACTTGTACTCTATCATAAACATGCAGGGATCCCCAGGCTATAATTACTCACTCCCTTCAAACACTACACGATTTCCCCCCTAAATGCGTGTAGTGTAACGACATGACATATGCACGCTTATCAGTTCCTTATATACAGTATGTGGGGAACCATTTCTCCCCTGTGAATGTATTCACACTTATAGGCATCACTCATTTATTCCCATACAAACACATTTGTTTTCCACATACAGTTCCTCACACGTTTTACATCCATTTGCTCCATAAAAACACTTAAACAATCATTTAGCTGTCTCTGTGTAGAAGCACACTCCCATGCAAACACACATTCACATTTAAAAACGTGCTCGAACTGAATGTGGACCGACCTGCTGGATGAACGTGTGCGCTCCGTGGGGGCTGAGTAGCAGGATGGCTCTGCGTAGTGTGTCTCTGTACCGATTGAGCTCCTCCGTCCTCATGGTGGTGAAGAGGTTGGTGAAGACTTTACTGATGTTCCTGTCCACTCTCTGCAAAGCCACGTCTACGCCCTGACGGGACGTCTGGTCCAGAAAACCCTGCAGGCCACGGATATCTGGAGGAATGGGAAGAAGAAAAGAGAGCAAAGGGTCAAATATACATCGTTACAAGATACAAGTGCAAGGTACAAGCGTGTCTGTGAAGGTTCTCAGTCATCTAGGTCATTGTTATCCAACGAAGGTTAAAGTCAAGGGCAACTGGACTTGGTTGAAGATACTAGAAGACGTTTCGTCCCTCATCCAAGAGACTTCTTCAGTTCTGACTGACAGCTATTTAACCTCTGTGGGGTTGTTAGCTAGGATCGTTGATACGGCTAGTTCGTTGCTGTTGTAATGGCGGGCGTTATAGCCGTTATAGCCAAGCAAGACTGAACGACCATCGTTGGCATCTTCACCTGAGGCCAAGAGGTCACGCTTGTGAAGTTTCCTGGGAAGCGATGAAAGACGAAAGCGACGAAACAGAGTTTGTATTTCCCTCACGCCACACACACAGAACTTAACATATAATTAGGTATAATACACTGCTCAAAAAAATAAAGGGAACACTAAAAATGTGCTCAATTGGATTCAGGTCTGGGGAACGGGCGAGCCGGTCCATAGCATCAATGCTCTTGCAGGAACTGCAGACACACTCCAGCCACATGAGGTCTAGCATTGTCTTGCATTAGGAGGAACCCAGGGCCAACCGCACCAGCATATGGTCTCACAAGGGGTCTGAGGATCTCCTCTCGGTACCTAATGGCAGTCAGGCTACCTCTGGCGAGCACATGGAGGGCTGTGCAGCCCTCCAAAGAAATGCCACCCCACACCATTACTGACCCACTGCCAAACCAATCATGCTGGAGGATGTTGCAGGCAGTAGAACGTTCTCCACGGCGTCTCCAGACTCTGTCACGTCTGTCACATGTGCTCAGTGTGAACCTGCTTTCATCTGTGAAGAGCACAGGGCGCCAGTGGCGAATTTGCCAATCTTGGTGTTCTCTGGCAAATGCCAAACGTCCTGCACGGTGTTGGGCTGTAAGCACAACCCCCACCTGTGGACGTCGGGCCCTCGTACCACCCTCATGGAGTCTGTTTCTGACCGTTTCAGCAGACACATGCTGCTGGAGGTCATTTTGCAGGGCTCTGGCAGTGCTCCTCCTGCTCCTCCTTGCACAAAGGCGGAGGTAGCGGTCCTGCTGCTGGGTTGTTGCCCTCCTACGGCCTCCTCCACGTCTCCTGATGTACTGGCCTGTCTCCTGGTAGCGCCTCCGTGCTCTGGACACTACGCTGACAGACACAGCAAACCTTCTTGCCACAGCTCGCATTGATGTGCCATCCTGGATGAGCTGCACTACCTGAGCCACTTGTGCGGGTTGTAGACTCCGTCTCATGCTACCACTAGAGTGAAAGCACCGCCAAAACATCAGCCAGGAAGCATAGGAACTGAGAAGTGGTCTGTGGTCACCACCTGCAGAACCACTCCTTTATTGGGGGTGTCTTGCTAATTGCCTATAATTTCCACCTGTTGTCTTTTCCATTTGCACAACAGCATGTGACATTGATTGTCAATCAGTGTTGCTTCCTAAGTGGACAGTTTGATTTCACAGGAGTGTGACTGACTTGGAGTTACACTGTGTTGTTTAAGTGTTCCCTTTATTTTTTTGAGCAGTGTATATACGGTAACATAAAAAACAATATATACAGTTATTTATGTACATATATACATAAATGTATACACCCAGAACATTCTGCAGTGCATTTTCTAAATTTGCGACTGGTGTGAATGTAAACAGCAGCAACAAGATCATTGTATGGTCCATTTTGACTGTGTTTGAGTACCAAGCATTAAACACATGTGTTATTCATCTGTACACAGAGACATGTCCACAATGTGAGACCAGTCTGGTTTAGAAAACCAAATATCAGTAAACATATGACAGATAATACAGTACAACTGCACTGAGAAATCCTCACTGGTTACTAACAACATTTTGACCCCAGGAAGGAAATGGGTTTAGTACAGATAAAGTAATAGCTGGACATATTTCTCAAAAGACCACGGCTAGATCTTTTAATATTAAAGGGATGAAGGTTCCCCCAGTTAATTTGGTGCTCCTGGAGCAGGTAGGAGTCAATTTTATTGCTCAAGGACACTTTGGCCTCCAGTCAAGGCTAAATCTTACTACCCACTGCCAGTGAACAGGAAACCTTCAGCATGCTAAGATCCACAGCCAGATCTGTAAAATTAAATCACAGCTTCCGGACTGAGACACGGTGTTGAGTTATATTCCATTATGGGAATTGGTGTATGGCGGTCCAGAAAGGCTGATTCACCATCACCAGTTATTAACACTCCAACAACAACTTTCCATTTAGCTGAAAGAGAAACTGTGGCTTACTTGGGTTTTACTTTTGTAGCTCAGGTTACATAAGTGTCATTTACACTGGGGACGTTGGGGCCATTTCCACACCACTTTTGTGAAATGTCTGATTTTGTCCCCATCACTTTTAGAAAGCATAATTTGTTAAAAATGTTCTGAAAATAGCTTGTACCAAGAAGTTTTAACTATCAAATGAAAATGTTTTGAAAAAGGGGCATTAGCTCAATAAGAAAACGTGCAATGCGGTTTAAATATAAAACAACAAATGTGCATTGTTCAAAAAAAGTAACTTAAATTAAAAAAATATATATTCTAACATCACCCAAAAACGTGCATGCGCCTATCAGTAATATCAACAAATTCTCTTCAGTTTTTTCTTGTCTGAATTTTCAGTTCTCTCTCTGTGAACATGGCAAACGAACTGAGCTGGGTTTGTGACATCTTGTTTTTCTAATGTTAAAAAAGTATGCCACTTCGAAACCAGGAAGTTTTAGTATCTTACAATGTGCCGTTTTAATTTGCAATCACGCAATACTTTTCCTGACCTGCTGTAATGTGTAAATATCTTCTCCGACCTCATATTTATCCCCAGTTATATTTCCTAAAATTGCTGAAAACCATTTAAAAGGTTTTTATCGTCTGAGCCCTTATGTCCCCACCACTTTTCAACACAAAGTGACGCCCTTGTCTGCTCATCACTTTTATTGGTTATGATAGTATAATAACAACCGAAATAATTGCTGAGACCTCGGATAGATTGTCTGAGTGCCTGCGGTTCTTTCCCTATTGGACTTACTCCAGGCGATGTCGTCGTGTTTGGAGATCTCTGCTTTACTTAAACAATGTTGAATACCACTGTTGCAAAGATCAAAAGTTTCCTGGGACACATTTTCAGAAGTTTTCAAAAAAGGATACCTGAGAGCATTAAATATCACTTAAAACAAGTTTTAAGTCACTGAGAACCTGACTTGATTACTTGGAGTGAGCTGATGCACGCCTTCACTTTTGTCAATTACTGTTCAAAGCTGAGATGATTCAAAAGTCTTTGTAGGAGCTGCTTTCATCTTCGCTGATGTTTGGCATCCTGTGGGCATATATTCGTGACCCATGAAAGCAACCAGACAGCGGGGGGGGGGGGGGGGGGAACAGAACTTCACACACAAGAAAATAAGAGCTGCGTTTTCGCAAAGGCTGCTACCCGAGCTGAATTGTCCTCAGCAGAGCTGACTGAGACCATCATCTCTACTCCTGCACTGTCTTTGGCTGTGCCACTTAACCAGACAGCATCTATCCATTTGAGAGTATCATTTAGATTGCTCACAGACTCTTATCCAAACTGCCAGAGAAGTTTCTTTTCCTGACATTCAGACAAGGCAGCTGTGTTGCGTTATGCTCCGTTATAGCTGGTGACAGGTTGTTTGGCCTTAACATCTCTTCCTTTTTTTCCTCCTCTCCTATCCCCTCCCTCCATCCTTCTCTGTCTATTAGCACTGACAGCTGGCTTGTACCGAGTCCTGACTGCCACTCTCTACTCCTACACTCCCTTTTCACTCCAGCTGTTTCATCTCATCATCCCTATATCTTTCAGGGTTTTTTTCACATTCAGCCCCCCACCCCGTCGTTGTTTCTGTTCCCCATTACATTTTCTGTCTATCCATCCATCCATCTGTCAGTCAGCCTTCCCCTCCTCTTCCTCGCCAGTCAATTTGAGGGTAAAGCACAGTCAGTCACTCCAGCAGAACAATGGAGTAACTATCTCATGAAATATGAAATTCAGAGCTCTGTGATTCAGTTTCCTACTGATTTCAAAGGCACCCCTTGAGGCTAAGCTCTGTCGGAGGCAATGCTTTTTCCATCTATCTATGCATAGATAATCAAATCAAATAGCTGTCCACACATCATTAGATAACCTCTCACACTTTCTATTTTTCTCCTGGAACATTTCCAGCAAATCCTCATCAGAAAAAACGTTTATATCGGTTGATTGTGCTGCAGCTTATCACGACCCATTTACATTTATTCACTCATTATTCAAAGCGGCTTACAATTGCTGTACATGTCAGAGGTCGCACGCCTCTGGAGCGACTAGGGGTTAAGTGTCTTGCTCAGGGACACACTGGGGGATTGAACCCAGGTGTCTCACCAAGTGTCTTATCCATCGTGCAATATTTACGATTGTTTCTAGGCCAAAGGAAGCCCGATGATCTGCGCCCATATTTATCAAGCTTCTCAGAATTACTCGTAAGAACAATGCATAGAATTGACTTAAGAGTAAAACAATTCTTGGCTCAAAGCTGCACTTAAAAGTTAGTTGCCAAGCATCTCAGTCCTAATTTAAGTGAAGTGTAGGACGACCAATTGTACCTACTACTCCTAGGAAACCGGCTATTTTCAAGAACTGTGTTTGCTGCTGTTGGGTTACGAGGGGTCTTGGTGGGAAGCTGATGGAACGCGTGACAGTGTGTGGAGCTGTAAGTGCCATAACTGTTTCTGTGACAATCCGGCTTATTGAAGGTTGCGATGTCTGCAAATCATCAGCATTGCATTGTTATATTTGTCCTGTGGCAAAGAAACAAAGTTTCATCATCACCTTCAGTTCACTTTGAAAACGCATTGCTGCGGAAAGTCCGTGCTGAGATGACGTCCCTCACCAACTCTCTGACAAAGATGATGCCTGCTCTGTCCAAACTATA